TGTCCATTGACCTCAGCCAGCTTCCTAGCATGGAAGGGCAGTTCCAGGCACACAGTCCATCTTTGGACTGCCTTTACCTGATTGGGCCCAATGGGACTGTGGACAGGAGCCTGGGAAGGCTTCAATGTCAGTTGCCTTTCTCTGACCCTGTAGCCAGTACCCTCAGGAGCTTGGATTCCATGGAAAAACTGGTGGCTAGGCAGCCTGCCTCCCTGCTGGTGCCACAGGTGTGAGCTGTTTACCTGGCAGGCTTTGGAAGAGCCCAGTCCCAAGACACTGGATCCCAGGGTGCCACCTGCTGGGAGATGATGCCCCAGGATGTCAGGAGCTCCTCTCCCCGAGGCAGGGCCCCAAGTGGAGGGGAAGAGAGCTAGAGTCTAGGATCCTGTACCCAGCAGACCTGAGTTCAGGCTCTGCCACTGCCCCAGACATGCTGTCATAACCTCAGGGACCATCAAGTCCAGTGTGGACATGTGTGTCCCCATTCACTAGCCCCACGGACCCCTTCCTGAGCATGCCAAGTCTGAAGGTAACATCAAGTGGGAGAAGGAAAGGTTTTGGTGGGGGAGCCACAAAATACTTCAGGGCTCAGAGCTGCCTCTGAGCCAGCCCTCCTCACCACACTCAGCCTCCATCCATCAGGCCCTATCTCTGGGCACTGAGGCCAGTATGTTCACTCAAGTCCTCTCATCTTCATATCCATGTTAGGGTCTAGGTATGAGCTTCTGTGCTATTTCTGTGCCATCTCCACTTATCCTTTCTCACAGAGGATGTGTCCAGGGTATGGCCACCAGCCACAGCCCCAGGCCTGAGCCTGTAACTTACAGAAGGTAATGGAAACCCAAGAGAACAACCTGTGGCCTTGGTTCAGGCTGTTGCCACAGGCTGGGCAAGAAATGGAACCTAGGGCTGGTGGGAAGGAGGAAGCACTGGTGGCCCCCAGATTCCCCAGGGACTGGGGCATGTGTGGAGGTCACAGGACAATTTTATGGAGTCAGTTCTCTCCTTCCACCTTTATGTGGAAGGTTGTCAGGCTTGCATGACAAGCACCTTTACCCACTGAGCTTTTTTTTTTTTTTCTGTTTTGAGACACAAGGGATATCTGGCTTATGATCAAAGGTGAATGACCAGAAAGATCAGGGGGAACAGCACTTACAGGCAGAGGCACGTGGATCTCTGTGAGTTCAAGGCCAGCCTGGTCTATGTAATGAATTCCATACCAGCTGGGGCTACAGGGAGATCCTGTCTCAAAAAAGACAGAGAGAAAGAAAGAAAGAGAGAGAAAGAGAAAGAGAGAGAGAGAGAGAGAGAGAGAGAGAGAGAGAGAGAGAAAGGAGGCTGGGAATGGGGCAAACCCCTATGTCATTGGGAGGTGGTCCAGGGAGTGTTTCAAGTATGCTGGCCAGTCCTCATAAACCACCCCCGTCCTGTTCCTTTGAGACGGATGTGGGTTGTGGGTTATGTGGGTCCTGTCCAGGTTGCCCTGGCAGCTATAGGCACTGGTAAGTGTGCTGAGGGGGTGAAGGAGGAGTGAGGGTCTCCTCAAGAGCCATGGCCCCATTCCCTCACCAGACCCTACCTTTGGAAGCCCACAGGAACTAATTAGTGCTTTCTTCCTGGTCACCTACATTCCAAGTCCCTAGGCACCCACGTGTCCCTCCCCTCTTTCCATCTCTTCTATGTGCTCTGGGGTGTGGAGGCAGGGGCAGGCTGTCGGCTCCCTTACTGGAAGGAAGTGATGATGGGATAGCTGTGTGGTGGAGAATAAAGACACTGCTCAGCAGGACTGGGACAAATGCCCAGAGGGCCCAATCCAGACCCCGACAAAAGGACCTTGCTGGTCACTAACCTGCCCTTTTACCAGATCTAGACATTTTGAACTATCCCCTGCTGTTTCAAGACCCTTCAAAGCCTGGATAGAGTGAGGCACCAGGGCACTGCCAGCCGTGCTCTGGGTCCAGTCACATGCCTAGATTGTTTGAATAATTCAGATTTAAGAAGACCTACTTTCCTGTTAGGCCATTTCCTGCTGAAGAGCATATGGGGGAGGGGCATTTGAATTATACATCCGTGCTCCCTGGTTTTTAGAGAAGGCTGGGCACTGAGCCAGCCCCAGAGTTGAGCCTCCACCCTGGAGCCCTGCTCAGCCCTGCAGCCACTGCTGGTGGGGCCCTGGGCTGGTCACAGCTGACTGGGTGTGGCTATGGATTTGCAGCTGAACCCTAAAATGCTTCCTGAAAGGGAGCGTGCCTGGAAAATCAGGAGAGTCCTGGGCTTTGGGCTGCAGGCAGGGATCTCTCAGATTTTTGTTCCTCTGTGGAGGAAGCTGGGTAGCAGGTCCCAGCCAAAACCTACTAGAGGTCTGGGCTGAGGGGGTGGGTGTGGAAGGGGGCTTCAGACCCTCTGGGGTTCAAAGGGGGAAGCCTGGCATCTTATCTCTAGGGCAGGGCCTGGAAACAGGCTGGAAGATGACCAAGGTTCAGGGCCAGAGGCCCCTGCTGCCTGGGGAGTGTGCATATCAGAGGGGGGTGAGGCCAGGTGGCAGCCTGAAACTGGAGCCAGGGATCTAGGATCGGCAGCCAGCCCCTCCCCTCTTCCTTCCTTCCTTCCTTCCCCTCAACTTTGCCCCTCACACCCTGTCCATAAACACATAAATGATGACTTCAGCCAGTGCTGTGGGGAAGGCTGTGCCCCACCCTGAGCACCCGCAGATCACATGGAGGCACAAGAGGCTACATCTCAAAGCCTCCTACCCCAGCCCAGCCTGGTGCTGTACGCTTGTAATCCTGGCACTTGGGAGGCTGACACAGGAGAATCCCAAATTCTAGTCCGGCCTGGGCTAGAACCCTGTCTGAAAACAAACAGTCCAACCATACCAACCTCGCTTTGCAGTGTCCTCATACGGGGTCTTGCCCGTGGTGCTGGCGATAACTGATGTGTGTGTGTGTGTGTGTGTGTGTGTGAGAGTGCAAATGTTGGCCTGTAGAACGGGGGTCCCAGAGCCCACCCCTCAGCCCTGCTCCCTCCCTTCTCCCACCTTCACTTCAGGAAACCCAGGAGGGGCTGAGGGCCCCACTGCAGCATGGAAGGCTCTGTAGAGACAATCGGGACTTTGGGTCACCCCGCTTCTGCTCCAGTTGACACCCCTTCCTTTTTCCTTCCACTCCTCATTTCCTTTCAGTCCTCCACCTAGCTGGGTACTGAAGGACTGGCATCAGGCCTGATGGATTTTGAGGACCACCTTAGACCCTGAGACCATCTGCCAATTCTGGGAAGCCATGCCTGTCTTTCTACTGGTACTGGATTGTGTTTCATGCCCCACTCCTCCTATGAGTAACCCTGCAGGAGCCTGGTGCCCAGGTGTCTCCTGGATACACAGCTGTTCAAGTTCCTCTAGCCCCACCTTCCTTTGGACAGCAGTGACTGCTGGGGGCCCTGTCCCTCCCACTCTCCTAGACGTAGCCCTAGTTGGTGAGTCTCGACCCTCTCAACTTGGAACTCAGAACATCACCTAGATCCCTTCCACCCATGCCATAAATGTTCCCCAGGATCCTCTGGGGAAGGATGAGTACAGTGGGTAAGGGAGGCTTCACAGGGTTTACAAAGGATACTCTGTGTGTGTGTGTGTGTGTGTGTGTGTGTGTGTATGTGTGTGTGTGTGTGTGTGTGAGAGAGAGAGAGAGAGAGATGAGGCTCTCAGGCGGACTGGGCTGGGGGACATCTCTGCAGAGGTGACGACAGCAAAGGCTTGGCCTTCACAAGGTTATAGGAGACTCCTATAGGAAGATGGAGCCACAAGGGACAGGGGGAGGACAGGATGGACCTTGACTCTGTGGGGAATGGGATGATGGAGCTGACAATGGCCTCAAATAAAAGAGGGACACAAATGACAGTAAGCCAGGTCTTGCTCAGTTGGAGGGAGGATCAGAGGTCATGGAGTAGGGTGGGAGCAATGGTGGGAGACTGGTTACATTGGGATAACTGGAGCCAGGTTCCTCACTCCCAAAGCAGATGGTCACTCCCATACACGGCAAAAAATATGAATGAAACTTGCAGTATTCTGGAGAGATCATGTACTCAGGGTGCTCAATGAAAATAAACCTGTCCACATACCTCTGTGCATGTACATAAACACACATCTGTGTTTGCGTGTTTACACGTGTGTGTTCCCTCCAGCTGTCTGCTGAGTCGGACTAGAATCAATGACATCCTAGTAACAAAGAGCATCCAACACCTGGGTCCTCGCTTTCACTGCCCTCTAGCAGGAACCAGTGCTCTTGATACATGAGGCTGAGTTCAGGCCTGGGGCAGGGAGAGCACAAGAGGAGCCTGCAGGGCCTGGAGAAGGCCAAGAACATGTCTATGCATTGGTAGGAAGCATCCAGGGTGGGGAAGTGGGAGATCTGAATGAAAGCTGCTTCAAAAAGGAGCAGGCAGTGAGTGGGGAGGGGTGGCAGTGGACCTGGATTCGAGGAGCCAGGCCTTCAAGTGTGAAGGGAGACCTCCCCAGGATTAGAGACGTGGTGAGTCCCAGAGGCCACGGTGGGAGCAGGCTGGGCTGTGGCATTTGAGGGTTGTGGTCCTGGTTTAAGAGAGGCTGGTGGACACCAGTGTGCAGGCCTGGAGGAAAGGGGCGTTGAGCTTGGTTTGGAAAGGACACCACCGGGTGCACAGAGCCAGGGACTCAGGCTCTCTTTGCTAAGATGGCTACGAAGAAGGGGTAGTTGGACCGAGTGGCGTATCCCCCTGATTCTGCCGATTTCCTGAGCGGCTTGCTGGTCCCCCCTGGGACTTCTGTCCCCAGCTGCCCACTTCACCCCGCCAGGCCGCTCCTCCTCCGACCCTCCCAGGCACCGAGGCACAGAGTCTGGACGCGCTCCACAGTCCCCTAGCCGCGTCCGCGGGGCGCCGCCTCGAACACCTCCGCCGGGGCCGCGGTGCCTTTAAGCCGCCCACGCAGAAGCGAGGTGGGGGTGGGGCGTAGGGCGCGGCGCGCGCACGCGAGCTGTGCGCGGTGACGCGACGTGGGGTTTCCCGAGGCTGCGGACAGGGGCCGCCGCGCCCATCCTGATGGCTGGAGGCGTCTGAGGGGCGGGAGGGCGGCGGC